TTTATCACCAATGGATTTCACCTACGTCCCTTTCCTTTGATTGCAATGTATAAATACAGATGTAACCCGCCATTCTCCGGAACATCTCAGTATGTTGAGGTCCTGCTTCTCTGCATATGTCAACAGTTTGGCTCAAATAAACTCACAAAAATTCTTTACAGGTTACAATGGTTTTTTACGTTAACAACACAAAACAACTGAAAACAGAGATTCAAACATATCAGTAACACCCATGCTCATAGCAGCATTATTCATAATAGCTAAAAGGTGAAAGCAGATGTGGGATAAACAAGATGTTGTGGGAAAATGTGGAATATTATTCCAACTTAAAAAGAAAGGATATTCTGACACATGTTACAACGTGGATGAAACTTGACATTATGCCAAGGGAAATAAGCCAGTCACAAAAGGACAAATACTGTATGATTTCACTTATATGAGGGATCTGACAGGAGGTAGCATGATGGTGTCAGGAACTGGGGGAGAGAGGAATGAGGAGTTAGTGTTTAATGAGGAGTCCGTTTGGGAAGATGGAAAAGTTCTGGAGATGGATGGTGGTAATGGTTGTACAACAATGCGAACGTACATAATGCCACAGAACCATACACTTACAATGGTTAAAATGATAAAGTTTATGGTATATACACTGAGTGGCCAGATTATTATGACCAGCCAGATTATTATGACCACCCCATCAGTACAATGAAGTGAATTAGTTATGCAAATAGTAATAAAACCTTGAGAGTATTTGCTTAGGAAGTTTTCAATATTCAGTATTTTTGGAAGTGTCAATGAAGTACTGACGGGGTGGTCGTAATAATCTGGCCACTCAGTGTATATTTTATCTCAATTAGCCAAGTACAGTAGGGAACTGAATGGTAATGTGGATTGTGATTCTTTGGCCTGTGACAGGGTTGATCTCAGTTGTGAAAGGTTGTCTATCTCTCAGGGACACGTGAGTTTATCTTTGTGTCCCTACTGCCTAACAAAGGAAAGGAGAGAGGATGTCCTGGTGAGATTTTTTTTTTCCGGTGAGATTTTTGAAGTAGAGGTTTATCTCTGTTATGCACACACAGTGATGGACTCCTTGCATTCCTAAGAAGCTCCTATGTAGATATCAGAAACTTAAGGCACTGCAATTCAAGCCAGCGCGGCTTCGTGGCCATTGAGTACACAGAGGAACCCACCAGCTCTCGCATTCTGTTATCCTCGCTTTTAGATTCTCAGCGATGGTCCTGGGAGTCTCTGCTCAGGGAAAATGGGACAGACGGAGGCGAACCACGTGTCGCGGGCGGTGACCAGGGAAGCCGCCCCGGGTATCACAGCGGGTAGCACCGCAGACGCGAACGGAACAGAACGCTGCCTTTTTGGGTCGGAGGCGGGTGCGGGGTGAAGGAACCGCAGGGAGAGGAACTTGCTATCAACCGGAGCTGCGCGCAGGACCGCCCGCCCGCGAGCAGAGGCGCGCCCAGGTCGTATTTCG